CACCTTGGCTCCAGTAGAGCTTTATGGCTGGCGGGATGCATCTCTCTTGCTTTCTTCTTTGAATCCTGAAGTAATATCCGTGCGGCTGGAGGAGGAACATGCTTATCCAATGATTGTTGCTGAAGGTCCAGGCCAGGGGTCCCTCCTGCAGCTCAGCCTACATTCCCCAGACTCTTGCCGCAAGGGGAAACATAAGGCTCCCCTTTCCCAGGGGACAGCGTGGCTGGAAGTTAACTTTGGCTGGCACCTCTTGACCACTAAGAGCCCACAGCAAGAAGATCTCCATCGACATGGTAAGGCCCCCTTTCAACGAGCAGAAGGTGCCATGTCAGGTGAAGCAGTGACTGTTGCAGCTATCACAGAGCATGGCAGAGGTTCAAGGAGGCGTGGCCCAGTAGCACGAGGGCCGCCAATGACCAAATTTGAGGGAGCTGGTGTTAGCTCCTATGAGGATATTGAACAAGTGGAAGAAGTGGAGGAAGATGAGATGGTGAAAGCACCTGCAAGGGTGACAGATCTAGAGGTTGGAATGTATGTCCTCCTGGGAGTGTTCTGCCTTGCCATCTTTATCTTCCTCGTCAACTGTGTGGTCTTTGTCCTTCGTTATCAGCGCAAGGAGCCTCCTGATGCTGGATCAGGTCCAGCCTCTTCTGCTCAGCAGCCTCACAATTGGGTCTGGCTAGGCACTGATCAGGAGGATCTTAGTCGGCAGCTAGATCTGTGCAAGCAACACTGCAAAGACCAGCCTCGGGGCCCGTCTAGCACCACCAATGATGGGTACTCTTGCTGTGCAGGGCCAGATGGAACTTTGGAAGCTTTGGCCCCAGAGGCCCCAGCTCCATTACCAGAGCCAGAAACAGGGGTCTCTGCTAGTAATTTGGGCCTGACTGCACCAGGGAACCCAGCGCTTACCAGCACCTTGTCCAGGAAGAAAGAGGGCAGGGATGTAGGTGGTCGGCGGAAGCGTGTAGAATTTGTGACCTTTGCTTCCCCATCCAACTCTGCTCCCAGCCCCCCTGCTTCTGGACCAGTAGTTCAGTCCATTCTGGTAGCCAGCGAAGATGACATTCGTTGGGTGTGTGAGGACATGGGGCTGCGTGACCCAGATGAGCTGCGCAGCTACATGGAAAGGATTCGAGGTAGCTCCTGATCTGCCCTAGCCCATTCATGTGGGCAAACCAATAAGATGGTCACCCCCTTAGGTGCTCTCCTAGGATCAGTCAGCTGAACTCTCTACCTGCTTCTTTTTAAATAAGGGCTCTTCACCACAGGACACCAGCCTTGGACTAGTTCGTGAGGAGCAAATGAGCCAGAGATATTTCTGCTGGTCTCTGTGTTACAGATCCAATTCCTTGGCTGCCCTATCCTTTTCATTCTGGTTAGAGGCATTCTCTCCACCTAGTATTCACTCAGCAGAACTAGCACGTCCCTCCTGGGAAGAAGAGAGCCCACATGTGCTCATTGCTTCTCCCTCTACCCCTTTAGGAGGGGTGGATGTGGAGTTTGCAGACTGGAAAGTAGCCGCAGGTGAGAGGTAGGCTGGCTGCGATGTACTGTGGAGGTGATCTAGGGGGCTGATCCAAGACCTCACATATTACGTTGACCCTCATTGCCAGTGTGTGTCCATTGTGATGGTATGAACGACAAGTGTCTTTCCGTCCTTCCTGTGGTCTGAGCCTGGGGCTCTGCCCCTATCCTCCCCCACCCCCAGTTCCCTGATCCCTCCCCTAAAGCCAGGCAAGGACAGAGCTCCAGGGAGCACTGGCTGGGCCTTTTCCACCCTGGTTGTGTGCCTGATGTCCTTAAGAGTTTTGTACAATCGCTCATATTTTATACTGTACTATTGGGAGGCTGCCAGGCAAGTCCTTTATTTATGGAAGATTTTTAATTCTTACATTGTTAAAAAAAAAAGTAAAATAAATAATAACTAAAAATGAAAGGCGTGTCATTTTTGTGCGGTCTGGTTTATTTGTGTTTCCTTGGTAATAGAGAAGTAGTCATCTCTGCTGTGGGGATTAAGTCCAGACACCTGACAGTTCCTTTCATTCCGAATATTTGTGGACTTGATCCTAGCCTAAGGCCAGTGTGTCATCACTGTTGCAATGCAGAGGAGATCCTCTGAATAGCTTTCGGCATGATTTTAGTTAAACTTTCTTTACGAGAAGGTAGTTTAAACTACAAATATGGGTAATTCTTGACTTAGAACCATTCATTTAGCTACCCTTCAATGTACAGGTAGTCCTTGATTTACAACAGTTCGAAGTTACAATGGCACTGAAAAAAGTGACTTAGGACTGTTTTTCACACTTATGATCATTGCAGCATTTCCAAAGTCACGTTCGGATGCTTGTTACTAACCTAACAACTGCAGTGATTCACTTCACAAATGTGGCAAGAAAAGTCATAAAATGGGGAAAACTCACTTAACAAATTTCTCACTTATCAACATAAATTTTGGGCTCAATTGTCGTAAGTTGAGGACTACTTGAACAATAGCATTGAAAAAAAGGATTTATGACCAGTTCTCACACTTACGACACTTGTAGCATACCCAGGCTCACTCGATCAAAATTTGAGCACTTAGCAACCAGCATTTATCTATGGTGGTTGCACTTTCCCAAGGTCATGTGATCACTTGCGAACTTCCCAGCCAGCTTCCGAAAAGCAAAGCCAATGGAGAAAGCCAGATTTTCTAATTGGGTATGACTCACTTAACAACCACCTTGCTTAGCAACAGAAATTCTGGTACTAATTTTGATTGTAAGTCGAGGACTACCTATAGTATAAACTCAATTCCTAGCAAAGAACGCCCTGTATCAGCGTTTCTCAACCTCACCTACTTTTAAGATGCATCCCAAGGCGGAGATGGCCAGGGAATTCTGGAAATTGAAGTCCATGCATCTTAAAATGGTCGAGGTTGAGAAACACTGCTCTATCTAGTTATTTACTAATCTTTGCAACTAGGTAAAGGTTCCCCTCGCACATATGTGCTAGTTGTTCCCTACTCTAGGGGGCGGTGCTCATCTCCGTTTCAAAGCTGAAGAGCCAGCACTGTCCGAAGATGTCTCCGTGGTCATGTGGCCAGCATGACTAAACGCCAAAGGCGCATGGAACGCTGTTATCTTCCCACCAAAGTGGTCCCTATTTTTCTACTTGCATTTTTTTACATGCTTTCGAACTGCTAGGTTGGCAGAAGCTGGGACAAGTAACGGGAGCTCACCCCATTAGACGGACTGAGCCACCACGTCCCTCTATCTTTGCAACTAGGAGGCAGCTTATAGAAAAGGAAAACACAGAAATGGATTTATGACATGTACTAACAGGCACTGCTAGGCAGTGGGGAATGTGAATTGCTAAATCAACATCTTGCAGGGTGTAGCATCTAACTAAACAATAGTGCTCAATAAAACTGAGGGCAATCGCATATTGGGTGATATAGTTGGTGTATAAATCGCACAACTGATGTATGTTCCAGGCTCCGACTCAACCCCTCCAAGACCGAGTGGCTGTGGCTTCCGGCGTCCCGATATAGCCGATATAGCCAGCTGATGCCATCGCTGGCTATTGGGGGTGAATCACTCGCCCCCACGGAGAGGGCTTGTAACTTGGGCGTCCTCCTGGACGCACGGCTGTCTTTAGAAGATCATTTGACGGCCGTGGCCAGGGGGGCTTTCTATCAGGTTCGCCTGATACGCCAGTTGCGTCCCTTTCTAGATCGGGACTCCCTACGCACAGTCACTCAGGCACTCGTCACTTCCCGCCTGGACTACTGCAACGCTCTCTACATGGGGCTCCCCCTGGGGTGCACCCGGAGGCTCCAGCTGGTCCAGAACGCGGCCGCGCGGGGGATTATGGGGGCGACGAGGCGCTCCCATGTGACACCTCTCCTGCGCGAGCTGCACTGGCTCCCGGTGGTCTTCCGGGTGCGCTTCAAGGTGTTGGTGACCACCTTTAAAGCGCTCCATGGCTTAGGGCCGGGGTACTTACGAGACCGCCTTCTGCCACCAATAGCCTCCCACCGGCCAGTATGCTCACACAGAGTGGGCCTCCTCAGGGTGCCGTCCGCCAGACAATGTCGGCTGGCGACCCCCAGGGGGAGAGCCTTCTCTGTGGTGGCGCCCACCCTCTGGAACAACCTCCCCCCAGATTTACATACAATAACAGACCTCCGGATTTTTCGTCGGGCCCTGAAAACCCATTTATTTCAACTAGCTGGGCTGGCTTGAGTCAAATTTTAAATTGATTTTAAATTGGAACAGTTTTAATTACGGCCAAGATATTTAATTATTTTAATCAGTTTTTAGATTTTGTATGTTTTGTATGTATGTCTTGTTTTTACTTTGGCTGTTCACCGCCCTGAGTCCTATATTGGAGAAGGGCGGTATAAATAAATAAATAAATAAATGTTTGGTTGCTGCTTCCCTAGGCTTACTAGCAGCTACACCGGGTTCACTTCTCCAAGTGCAATGGGGACTTCCAGGTTCACTATTCGGTCCTTGTACTTTTCCAATGTATATAGGCAAGAGAGCTTTTGGGAAAGTTGCTTTTCATATCCTTCCATGTTGCATTTGCTAAAATGTTTCTCTTCTATACAACAATTTCTAGACTTCTTGCATTCTACAAATTGTCAGCTCTGAGCAAACCTTCCCCAGCTGCCTTAACCAACTTTCTCCTTCCTAGGGTCTCCTCAAATAAAGTAGTAAATGACAGATTATTAATTGCATTTCCCTCCCCCCCCTCCGATTAAATTTCATGTTACTGCTAAAATAGCTTTACTTCTCATCAGTCCTATACGCCTGGTTATGTCTAGGATTATACAAGTGTGGAGAGTATACAGGATGGTCTTGAAAGACAGAAGGAAGATCTGTTACCAAGGCAACAATCAGACAAGTGTGGCTTGAGTCCAGGCCAAAAAAGAGATTTACAAAAGCACCTCAGACAATTCTCCCACTCCCCTCTCTGTTCACATAAAGATAGAAGAGGGAGGCACAAGATTTAGTTATTGTAGCTATTTTAATAAAAGTAGATTTAGCCTCATTTGGTATCTGTTTTTAATCTGGTCTACTTTATGAGGCAAACAACTGGTGAACTGCCAAGTATGAAATTTTATAGAGTTAACACTAATTTGAATTTTAAAAATTCAAGAGCAAATTGAAAGCTTGGGAAGCTGAATCTGAAATAAGCAACCCCCAATACAGTAGCTTTAATGTTCCAGTCCAGATCAAAAACTTAAAAGTACTCCCTCCCTCCCTCCCTCTTTCTTTCTTTCTTTCTTTCTTTCTTTCTTTCTTTCTTTCTTTCTTTCTTTCTTTCTTTCTTTCTTTCTTTCTTTCTTTCTTTCTTTCTCCTCATTTTTATATTGATTTTAAGTAACTATGGCATCTCTTTGGATCTGCACATGCTGGACATTTTTCATACCAATTACTTGGGGAAATCTCTTTTTCAATTTTGTCTCTAAGATTTTGCAATACTTGTAATTTTCATTCTTGCCATCCTGAAAGGAATAATGGATTTCATATCAATTTCAAACAATTTCTTGAAAGGTGTTTGCTTTTTAAATTTTTTAAAAGATCTTGTACATGAATGCAGAAATACATTTGTCCAAAATTAAAGCTACATATGTTTTCGCTTCAGTAACTGTAGCTCCCATTATACATGTCCATATGCATAATATGATGTATAATATGATATTTCTGTACTCGTCAGTATTATGAAGAGTTAAATATGATCTGTTTAAACTTACATTCAATAGTTAATATCTTAGCTTCAACCTTCCCATAACTCCATCGCTCATATTGAGTTTCTGGAAAACATTAACATCTCGAATAAGAAACTGTAGTTCTTAGTACCCTGATTAGCTGCCATTGTTAGTAATCTGGATTACTTTCTCTTAATTTTCATTAATATAGCTTTCACAACATTTGAATCAGTTAACTTTCTGCAACAGCCATAGCATTGAACATCATGATGAGAAGCATGTGTGCCTCTTGCAGTTCTGAAAAATGTGATCAGTTGTTCTCTCAGCTGGTGGGTCGCTTTTGACTCTCATAGTGGGCAGAGATGAACATAAAGAGGATGCATGTTACTGCCTGAATCCCACCTAGGAGGAAGAAATAATAATCCATCCGACATTTGTTGATGTTTCCTAGACAAGAAAGAGAGAGCAAGAGAGCCTTTAGTATACAGCAGCAGAAAGATGTCTTCTTGCATTCTGCAGCCCTCACAGGTCCAGGAATCCTTTGTGTACAACAGTCTTTTGACAACACATTTTAAAATAATTTTCTCAAGGTCTCCTCCAGGCTACCTGCCATTACCACAAGATGTTCGACTTTGCTGGAGAACAGTGAAAGCTCTTTAAATGGCTTCTCCATTCTCCTTAGTGGAGGAAGGGGGCTAAAGGGTATGGCAGATGCTCACCGAAATCATCTGGGCAGTGCATCCAACCACTGGTTGGCAGGGAGAGTAAACTCAGGAGGCCAGATCCTAAAAGAGATCCAACTCCAGAAATGAAGAAGAAAAGACCCATGATTGCTCCTTGCATGGTTCTGGGAGCTTCAGAATAGGCAAATTCCAGCCCTGGAAAAGTAGAAAAAAAATCAAAGGATTAGCAACCTAGAGGAGCACATTCAAAGTAGGTTTGAAGGATAGTTCAAGGCTTCTGAAGTCATGATGAGAACTCTGTGCTTTTTCATCTTTTCGTGCAACTAGCTGCACTATATTTGGATCAGGAAATTCTGGTTTAATGCTGATATAGGAACAACAAGGTCAATAAAGCCTTCTTCCCTGGCTTACCTGAAATGCTGGCAAAGATTTCACTGATTCCAATGAGTAGATATTGAGGGATTTGCCAGAAAATGGAGAGTGGGGCTGCAAAGTATTCATCTTTCCCAATTCTTTGCGTGATTGTCTGGTTGTTGTTCACATATTGTAGCCGCTTAGTTTCCAGGAAACCTAGATAGGAGAAAAGCATTTGGACCCAGAATAAGATATTGTGAAGAACATTCTCATAGATGAGGCAGGTTTTTAAAAATTAGAAAATAAGTGGTTGTATCTTTGTTATATTAGGTATAAAATATTTACTATAGGTATAAAAATACTTACTAGACAACCCATGTCCCATTGGGTTATTGTTTCAGAGATATTTCCTTACCCTAAACAGAAATATGATGAAAAGGGTGGACAAAAAGCAGGATGTCGGAAGATGTCCTGACATCCTGTCAGCTTGCTTCCCCTTTTGAGTTTCCATGTGCAAATCTGGCAGGGAGCATTGGAAACCTCCCTTCCCTCCCTTTCCCTTTCCTTCTCTGTAGGCAGATAAGTAACTGCTGATGGGTGAGGGAGCGAGGAAGGGATTGTGAGACTGGCTGGAAAACTGTTTCAGAACTTTGAAAATGAAGATCATGTGACCTCAGTAGTAGCCCAGCAGTGCAGCAGCAGCCAGTAACACTAAAGCTGTCACAACTTCCCCAAATTTCATTCCCTCTGGAGTCGTAGATTTTAGACATCATCTGTAAATTAGCCCATATGAGGTAACCGTAGTTCAAAAATCATTTCCCTATGATGCACTGTTTCGCCCAGTTAAAAGCCATGACGAGAGTTTTAGTAGTATATAGATTAAAGTATCTCTAACCAACAATAGTAAATCCTGTTTAAAAAGGAGCCACATGAAGCACTTCACACTTCAGTATACTCTGCGGGCCAGAGGTGGGTTTCAGCAGGTTCTGACCAGTTCTGGAGAACCGGAAGTGAAAATTTTGAGTAATTCGGAGAACCGGTAATAAAAATTGTGACTGGCCCTACTCCCATCTATTCTCTGCATCCCAAGGCCCAGCTGGTCAGAGGAAATGGGGATTTTGCAGTAACCTTCCCCTGGAGTGGGGTAGGAATGGAGATTTTACAGTATTCTTCCCTGTCACGTCCACCAAGCCATGCCCACAGAACCAGTAGTAAACAATTTTGAAACCCACCACTGCTGCGGGCTGATCCTCGCCTCAAGTGTACAGCTTTAATTTGGTCCAGAATTTGTTCTTATTTCAGTCTATGGTACAATGAGTAACCATCTCCAAAGCTACCATTTGAAAGTATCAGTTTTCTTTCACTTTCTCAAGTGTCCAGACTGCAGAACCACTAACAACTTTTCAGAACAATATCGAGACAGACCATTCAAAATTTTAACTGGAAACCAGGACACTGCTCTCTTCACATCCCCCACATAAAAGCACATGAAGAACTAGAAGAACAGATTATGTTTGGCAAAGATGAGGGCTGTAGACTTGGTAAGAGATTGATGGGGTTCAAGGAGATCACTGGAACATCCTCGGAACAGCTATGGGCTGTCATCAGGGACAGGTTGGGATGCCAGGCACTTGAACATTCAGTCCCTGGAGAGTATATAACTATGTTGGCTTAAATGTTAATGATCAAGATTTTTAATTACTGAGGCACAGACAGTACCGTACAGAATGAAGGCATTGTTTCCCTTGAGTCAGGCACCTATTAACTACTTGATTGATTGACTACATTTTTATACTGCCAGACTTAAAAAAACCTAACTCCTTACATTATACATGATACCTCAAAAAAAAAAAGATTACAAATCAAGGTAAGGTAAATGAAGAACTACAACAATATAAGTGCATCATGATGACTATTCCCTGTACAAATCTCCTCAGGACTGCTTTGTTCTGGAAGGCCAATAATGAAGGAAGTAGCCTAATTTTCAGAGGAAGATTATTCCATAATATGGGAGTTGCAATTATCCATGAGCCTTCAACCTGTGAACTTAGGATGCATTCAAAGATGTTGATAGTGCAGGGTGAGCTAGCTATTTCTATAGAGAAAAGGAATCCTGTATGTACCCTGGTGCCAAGCATTACAAGGGTTTTATTATAGGTCAAAAATAGCACTTTGAATTGCACCAGGAAAGCTACTGGTAAGTAGTGCAGTAACCGTAAAACAGATGTTAGCTGATTACAGTAATTTTGATTTGCTAATACACAGGCTGCTGTATTTTTCAAGGAGATGTAGAGCTGATTACAGTAAACCAAATTGGGGCAACAGTGTCAACAATTACATGAGTAGCATTTTCATACAATGCAGAAATGATTTGCATTGCCATTTTTGAGGTGCAGAAGCGAATGTAGCCAACATTTCATTTAGCTGTAAGGAGAAATGGGTTTGTAAAGCTTTGTTTGCTCTAAAATACAAAGAAGAAAGCAAGAAGATGGAAATAAAAAGAAAAAACAAACACAAACAAGAGGAAAGGAAGAAACAAGAGGAAATTAGATGGGTTTTTTTTAATAAGCATTGCATTAAACTTTGACTACATAGAATAATATTAGCCCATCTTTCCTTTATGTCAATAGAAAGCTAATTCAGAAATAGATGAATATGTATCATATCATTAACTGGTTTCTTTTGTATATCCAGTGAGACATTGTTTTCCATGTCACTTTCGTAGCCTGTCATTGGTAGAACTACTTTTGATGCCATCTCTGCCTTTCAAATACAACTTATTCCATATATGCCATTACTCCCACAACATCTTTTGGACAGTCTATCCATAGAAGCAAACATTACTATTGACATTGTTGATACTAACTTCTGATTCCATTTTTCAAAAGTGTCCATCAGTATTTTCAATGTTTTAATGTTTTCTTTCATTTTACAAATCCCAATTAATTAGCTGGCTCATGTATTTTTCTTCTTTAACAAAAATCTTTAGTTCCCTCTAGTGTCTAATTTTTAAAATTGCTTATCTTTATTATGTCTTGCTAAAAGTCCAAACAAATCTATTTCCTTTAGGAAGGACTCTTTACAATTATAATTAATTAAATTTAAAAAGTGATTAGAAAAGAAAATTCATGAACCTAGTGTCCTTTAAAGGGCAAAGATCACATTTACGAGTAGGATGACTATTCTTGTCGTCTTTCCGTTCTCAAAAACTACTGGGGGCTACTATCTTGTGGTCTTCTTGTGAGAAGCAACTATTCAGAGTGCGTGTGGAGGATGTCCCATCCTGTCTTTGTCCAGAGGGGTTCTGAAGAGCTGGTCTACTCATTGACTCTTTGTTGTTCGCTGCAGCCATTGGCCCAGGTTTTTGTGGAGCCATCTTCAGTCTGCCATTTCTTCCTCTGGAAACTCTTTTTATAGCTCATTTTGAAACAAAATATCTGATCCTGTGGGAACCTCTTGCTGGTTCTCTTTCATCATAACATAATTTCTTTACAGCATCCTATACCTGATAAAGTCAGTTCTTCATACATTTACTGCTGATTGAAATCCTACTTTCCATAGTACTTGTAATGTTTTCAGTGCATAAGTCAATGTTACATTAGCAGATTTAAGCTTTATTCATCTTCCCAAAACCATATTAACAAATGTATGATTATTAACAAATCTATGTATATCAACCTAAAACTGGATGATCATGGGACAAACCCATACCATATATTTAAGTATCTCCTCCATAATTTTATACTTGTAGAATTATGAAGTTGGTAGACAGTTTTTTTTCTAAATATTCTCTGATGGGTGCAATAAATATGAAAAAAATTCTTTTGTTGAATTAAATTTATCTTACAATTATAGGAAACAACATTGTTTATTTAATTTTATTCCAAACTTCTCACAAATAACCAATAACCATCTTAGTAAACTTTTTAAATACTATGCATTCTATATACTGTATATACTGTACATTCAAAATTATTCAAAACAATTTTAGTACTAACAGTCACTCAAGTATAATATATGCAGCTATTGGAATTGGATCAAATTATGAAATTAGAAGATTTAATTGAATGAATGGTCATTCTGCAGCTTTATACATTACAGATTGTTAGAAACTTTTTTCCTCTTAGGCTAATTATTTTAAGATATTTTAAAAATGTTCAGAAAACAAATAATAAACTGATTTTTACAAATATCCAGAGACAGGTTAAAGTCTATCAGGAATACATAATAGCTATTCCAATTAATTGAATAACTTTATAATTTATTAAATGATTATGTATGGTGCATTAATCACTTTTGGTTTAGACCATTCATTCTAAGCAGGATTTGCTAAGTTTTCCTTGAGGCCCATTTATTGGCAAAAGCCAATATGTCAGGCCAGGCAAACCAGGTCATGACCAAATCATGGTTGGTGTTTCTTTTTTTAACATCTTAGCCTCTGCTTTAGGGGTAAGTAATGTCAGGTTAGTACAAGGTTTGAATGAAGTCCTTACCTGCTAATAGGACTGAGCCAAGGCCAAAGATCATGCCTAGGGCCATTCTTCTCAGTGCTGATGGCAACAGTTTTTTCTTTGCTAGGAATGGGTCTATCACCCGGTCCTTCAATGGAATGAGGATCAACAGAACCACTACATTGGCTAGAAGGAGCCAGGCATCTGGAAACTGAAGAAAGAGTGAGGAAAAGAATGTAAATATTATTCTGCATCCCCACCCTATTGGCCTTCCGAAAAGTGGTGAAGACCTGGCTTTTCCGGCAGGCCTGGGGCCGTTGATCTCGCTCTTGTGATCTGGCAAGGTCCGGCCATGAATGGCGTGAATGAGTTTTTAATGTTTTTAATTTTTAAATGTTTTTTTATAATGATTTTTTAAAATGTATTGTGAGCCGCCCTGAGTCTTCGGAGAAGGGCGGCATATAAATTGAATTAATTAAATTAAATTAATTAAATTAAATCTATGGCAGGGGTGTCAAACTCACGTCATCAGGCGGGGTCACATGATGTATTAGGACTTTCCCCCCCCCTTTGCTAAACTGGGCCTGGGCGTGGGCGTGGCTAATGCATAACACATTTGACCCGCAGGCCGGGAGTTTAACAGCCCTGATCTATGATAACCAAGGCCTATGATCTTAACTAACTATGACATACGCAGTTGGTCAGGAGATTTCTCTCTGCTTACAAAACTAGGCGTTGGGTTTGGATTCTTGGAGACGAAGAAAATTGAAAGGATCTGTTTCACACAGCTTCATTCCACAATCACTTTCCTTCTACCCAACAGAGCTATTTATTTCTTAACACATCTACATCTGGTGGTGGCCCTTTATGTGAGCTGTTGGACACGTAGAGCTTCTCCATCAGAGGGACCTTTATTATGATTTCAGAGGGCCAACATACTTCTGAATGACTGAACGAAACTTTTTAGAACATAACAACCCAATCCGATTGGCTCACCTGCTCCATAGCTTACCATATAGATAGTATCTATGGTTGCTGAGAGTGCACTGTTATTCATATGACTATTTTGAAAGAACTTGGGGATGGAGAGATGGAGACCCTGCAAGTAGTAGGTTGACTGCATCTAAAATAAAATAGAAAGTGATAGTGTTAAAGAAATAAACACAAGACCTAAATGTTTTTCTATACAGAGCTTTCCTATAATAAAATAACATACACTAAACCTGGCAAATCTGAGACATGTCAAACCGATTCCCATATTCTCTCAGTTAATATGTCCATTGGTTATGGTGGCTGGAGATGATGGGGACTGAAGCTTAAAATATTAGAAAGGCATCTGTTTGGGGGAAAATTAATGTTCTTATCCTATATCTTTAACAGAGGACCCTATCCATCTTCATGGAGCAGTGAGTCTTATTATCTACACGCTTCACATGGTAATGTCCTGTCATAGGGTCTTAGTAATATCATAACATGGGTAATTAGATATGGCAATTATGACATAGGATGATCTGGAAAGTACAGTTTAGACCCGTGATGGCGAACCTATGGCACACGTGCCAGAGGTGGCACGCAGAGCCCTCTCTGTGGGCATGCGCACCATCACCAGCTGCTCTTCTGGTTTTTGTGGGCACCAGAGCGCCGGAAAATGACCTTGAAATTGCCCAGAAAACAGCCCCAAAACAGGCTGCTTTTTGGGGCTTTTGGGGGCCATTTTTCAGATTGTTTTTCAGGCTGTTTTCTGGGCCGTTTCCTGGGCCGTTTTTCAGGCTGTTTTTCAGGCTGTTTTTGGCCTGAAAAACACCCCCAAAACATCCTGAAAAACATCCTGAAAAACGGCAAAAAAAAAAAAAAGGCATGTGCACGCCGGCCAGCTGGTCTTCGGGTTTTTGGCGCTCTGATGCTTGCACATGCATGTACATGCACACATGTTCCAGTTTGGGCACTCGGTGCCGAAATGGTTCGCCATCACTGGTTTAGACTATCAACTACCGACTATCAACAGTTTAGACTATAGATCTCACAGTCTCCCAGTTTGTAGGTTAGCACCTTAACCATGAGACCCAAATGGCGATTGGCCCATTTTTCTAATATATCAAGATAATTTGAATTTTGTCTTTAGAATCAGTCATCCCATCTATTTCCTATATCATCTGTTATCTAATTGATGTTTTACAAGACGAGAAATTAAATAAACATCTATCTATCTATCTATCTATCTATCTATCTATCTATCTATCTATCTATTTATCTATCTATCTATCTATCTATCTATCTTATCCACATTACTATATATTCTGTTTGATTTTCACTTATCGGTAAGTGTTTTGTGCATCATCACACAGGTTGTTCTGCTGGCATTCCTCTCCCCCCCCCTCATTTTCTTCCATTTGGAATGGTTGTGATTGCACTTTTAGTATTTCTGTTTCTAGGAACTCTTATTCATCCTGATTGCCTCCTCTGATGAGTTTCTTCTACCAAGGAAGCATACTTATATTTGCTAAAATATGTGGAAATCTAAAGTATGTAGTCATTTTTTATTTTGGTTTATCACTCTTGCCTTAGCTTTCTTCTTTTTCTGAACCTTTCCTTATACAAGTTGCATTTCAACAAACACCTTTTAGTTCTCATTGCTCGCTCACTCACTTCTATCCTGGCTGCCTTATATTTTTTCTATAGTTTCTGCAACAGTCTCTGCTTACTCAGCAGGAAGCACTCAATCGTTCACAATGAGCAGCTAACTATTTTCAGGACACATCATTTGCAATCAACAGCTACTTAAGAGATGACCTTTTCAACCCATATAGCTGAGCAACACTGTCCCTACAGCTCTCCTTTCTCCATTCTGATGAACCCTATTGCCAAAATAGGGGGAGAAAGTGCTTAAGGATAATCCAGGGTAGTTTTGCCATCTTCTTCTTTTCTTCATTCATGTATCTCTTTAGAATAATTGCTTCTAAATTTTCTTGGCAAATGAAATTCATTACATAACAAGGATTTACAATTCTTTAAAAAAAAAAAGACTATAGAAAAAACAGACCTTTTTTGGTTTTTTTAAGTGCACATTTCATTCAGTTTATTGCAATCATTTATCAATTTTATTGCTGTGCTATAATAGCAAACAGGCATCAGGGGAGAAATGAAAGTGGCAGACTTCTCTTTCTCTAACCAATCTTTCACAACGATTTAGAACGCCTAAAACCTGGCAGGTTGATAGTATTGAGGTGGATCTGCCTACTATTTATTCAGTGGGTTTAATTTGAATTGCACATGGACTGAAGCCTAATGGAATCTGTCTTCCTGCTAACAATTGGGCGGAATTTATCTGGGGGAAAGAACCAAGCTATTTTCATGTTCAGCATGATCAGGCTAGATAGTGTGCGGGATTCTCTTTGAAGATTAAGTAAAATCATGGCTATATGAAGTCAATAAATAAACATGTTGATATGAAGGTTGTTTTTCTACCCAGAAAAAAAATCTACCCCAAATTAGCCTTTCAGGTGAATGATTTATCCAAAAAATGTTAAGAATAAAAAAAAATGTTTTCACTTCTTAGTATGGGACTCATCTTAATGCCAACAGTATCATTCAATAGAAGCATGGCAACCCTTTCTTCAAATATCCAGAAGAAAGTATGTACAGTAAAATAATTGCATTTTGGTTGACTATCTTATAAGTAATTCCCTAAGGGGCAGGAATATCCTGCCACACCAATGAATGTTTCATTAAAATGCTTTTTTTTTCTTTGAAAGACTTTCTAAAGGAAATGTTCTTTTGTGAAATTGAATGAGTAATGATAGAAAAATAACACACACAAAGGGAAGGTTCTTTTCCTGGCATGAGTTGAAATCTTTTTTTCTACTTGTCTAAAAGATTATCTCTTGCTTTTTTTCCCTTCTATCTCTCTCTCTAGACAAAATTTCAAAGATCAAACTTGAATTGCCATGAATGTGCAGTCTACAGAAAGCACTAACCACCCCAGGATTCACATTGTATAAACAGGCTGCCACCTCAAAATTACGATGTTAATTGTTCTTCACCAGTACATTACTGAAATTGACCATATAAAAAATGCATGGGATAGAAAAAGCACATAACAAGGACTGAAGGCTGTGTTTCCCCGAAAATAAGACCTGGTCTTATATTTGTTTTGCCACCACAAAAGGCACCAGGTCTTATTTTGGGGGGATGTCTTCCACTGACTCACCTCGCAGCAGCCCCTGGCCTCCATTTCGCTGTCAGAGGGCTTCAGAAAAGGCCTCTGCAGCCAAGAAACAGGCTCTGGATTGATGCACGTGACATCCCAGCCTCGTTTCACTGTCAAGAGGCCTTCAGGAGAGGCCTCTGCAGCCGATAAAAGAGTTCCAGATTGACGCATGTGAGGCCTGGCTGCAACTGTCCGAAGGTAAGTACCAGTAGGGCAGCTCCACCCCCCATCCCCACCCTAACGTGATTTTTATACGTGTGCTCGCCCCATCCCTTGCACCCTGGAGTGGGTGGGGTCTTAAGTAGGACTAATTTTGGGGTAGACTTATATTGGGTGCACATGTAAAAATCAAGCTAAGATCTTATTTTCAAGATAGGTCTTATTTTCAGGGAAACACAGTATTAGGCTCAGTCTTTGGCATTTTCTGGAAATATAAAAACCAGTTTTCTGAACCACTGGACACAACCTAACATTAGAATACACATCTTCCAACTGGGCAACATTGTACTTTCCCAAAACCTCAAAACTGTTCCTGCAGTTGCCTTTGAGTGCAGGAAGTGGCACAACCAGCCTGCACAAAATTCCATACTTAATAAGGGCAAACCAATTCCAGTCCTCAGAGCCTTGTTTACCCCAAGGCCTGCCCTGGGGCACAGCCAGACAGCATGCTGAAGCGATATCCACCAATCCTTGAGCCAGCAGAATATTATGTTTTAGTATAAAATTTCCTTGGAACAATAGTTATAGCCATCTGCCAGGTTACCCCACTAACATGTTGCAGCAGATGTGAAGTGCTCCATACCTATGACCCAGTTAATCAGGCAGCACTTTGTATTTTTAGGTACACATCTCTAAGGTTGAAAGGACTATTTTTTTTGGGGGGGGAGGGATACAAATGTATCTAAACTGTCTACTAAAAAAATGATTTTAACATTTCTGAAGGTGCTACCTCTTTTCTGAGGCACCTGTGAGACACAGAATCGTCTAATAATTGCATTAACCTGCAAAGAAGAAAAATGCATCTGTTTGAATTTTCTTTTTCACTGAAATCAACATCAAGAGCCTTCTCTGGCGATCCCCTGGGGTGAAACTTGCAAATGGTGAGGAGAGAACATTTCTAAATGGCCCTGTAATCAGGGAAGGCTTGCCCAAAGAAGCTGCTTGTTGGCCATTTTTGGGGGGGTAATTTTGTTGCTAGGCAACTCCCTTAAACGGTTAAAGTAAAAGGCTTCTTCTGATGCTGGATTTTTGCTGCCGTCCTTGCACATCTTCAGTTTTAACAAGTTCATTTTTATGCTATTCCTGTTTAATCTTACTGTACAATTGCGTGTGGATAAATAGATAGTGGGGAAAGATGGAATATAAATCCCTAAATAAATACGAAGTAAATGCTTACTATTAAAATGCAAATTAATACTGGCATCCTCCTCAGATTCCCAGCTAAATGCTCCCTCCCAGAACATTACAAGCCCCTGTGCTTCCCTCTGCTGCTGGCATTATTGCCCATCAGTCAGGGCATCTTCCCATATGAAAGAAGGAGTGCCCCATAGGGTGGCTACCTGGAAATAAACCATCCAATAGGGGATGAGAGTCAGCATAACTGGCAGGATCTTTGCCAGCACATGGAGGTTTGGGGCAGGTTCACAGGATGACCCCACAGGCCGGTTGCTTCCCCTTGAAAGGGGATTGGGTCCGTCTGCTTCCAGCAGGGGATTCCTTGCCCTGTAAAGAAAAGGGAGAAAGGAAGATGTTGGGTCTAAAACAGCTTTCCCCAAAATGGAGAGCCAGCTCCTAGATGGGTCAGATTACATATCCCATAATCCATAGCCAACTGGAACCTGTTGTCTGATCACCAGAAGGCACCAGACAGAGAACAGATTATTTCAAGTTATAATGAACCCCTCCCCCACCCAAAAAACCCCTACTTACATCCTGGAATTGAAATTCCAATGTCCAGGGCTCCCACCTGGTCAGGCAATGAAATTTTGGGTGCTTGGCATCCAGCCTACATTTATAGCTGTTTGAAGCACCCTGCGGTCAAGTGACTGCAATTTATAACATTTTGGCCAGAAACCAGCATTTATTTCCAATGTTTGGCCAATGTTTGTTTATTTATTTTATTTATTTATCAAACACGTATAAGATAACAGATATAAGTATAAACATGATTATGAATACAGTATAAGGATACGAATAAATGGGGAGAGTAGGACTGGGACGATAGGCACGTTGGTGCGCTTATGCACGCCCCTTACAGACCTCTTAGGAATGGGGTGAGGTCAACAGTAGATAGTCTTTATGTAACATCTGCCGTATTTTCTTAATGACCCCCACAAAAAAGTTTATAACATCGGGTTTGATCATACGGTGCCCGCTTTAATGACCATCATATCTTACGATTGAAATTGTTGGCTCAATTATAGTAGTAAATTGAGGACTACCAGTAGAATTGATTGCCCAGGCAAAGGCGATTGAAATCTTATCATGAATAATGAGAAAATATTCAGAAGTGGCTCAGGCAGACACCTCCCTAGTTCACTGAATTATTTAAAAAAAGGAGGAAGAAAAGATACATTGCAATCAGCCTGCCGGTAGAGCTGATTTCCTGATCTGATTTACCTAGTGGGGCCAACACAGTGATAATGAATTGGACTGGCACTGGGGAGACACAGATTCAATTCCTAGTGATGGAAACTCTTTTCCTTAGCTCAATCTACCCCAAAGGGTAACTGTTGAAGGAATAGTAGAAGGAAGAACTTGGTACACTGCTAGGGGCTCCTGAAGGAAAGGCAATTAGATCTTATAAATAAGTACTTAAACCTTGTTAGCGAAGGGAGCAATTCTCTTCCTACTGTTCACGCTGTCAGAGAAACCTCATGGGGGAAGGACATTGCTCAGTAATTTGGTTCATGATTCAAATGCAAAAGTTTCATCTAGCAATTCTGCTCACAGCTGGGAAAATCTAAAATTCTAGTAAAGGAGCCACCAGTTATAACAGGTAATGTTTTTCCTGAACTGGATGGACCACTGCTCTGACTCAGTTCTCAGACCCTGAGGTATGGTATGAAGTTTAGCCAGTTTGTTGAAGAAACCACAATTTGCCTGGATCACGCAGAATGCTAAGCCGTAAATGCATTGTCTGGATTTACCCATTGGGACCTGCCAAAACAACCTCTGACTGCCTCACCTCAACATGTTATTGCCTTTGGCAGTACACAAGGCCTAGCAATGGAATGCAGCTTCTTATGTGCCTGGTGAGAGAGGAGTCTGCACTACTTCTCCTAATGCAATGTTTCCCAATCTTAGCAAACTCAAGATATGTGGACTTCAACTCCCAAAATTCTGGGAGTTGAAATCCACATATCTTAAAATTGCTAAGGTCAGGAAACACTGTCCTAATGCAATTTGAAGATTGCCTCCCCCTTATTTGATGCCTCTTCATCTACAATTTCCAATCATCAAATCCAAATAATAATAGAACAGATCTCTCTCTCCACCCATGATTTAACTGTGGAGTTTCATTCATCCATTTAAGCAAATTAGAAAATAAAAGAAATTATTAGTTCATCACTTTAACACAATATAATCCAGCTGCAGGATGAGGTGAGATATTCCTTAAACTGGTAAAATGGGCTACATCCTTTCAAGCTGCAGCTAAAGGTAAAGATAAAGGTTCCTCTCGCACATATGTGCTAGTTGTTCCCAACTCTAGGGGGGGTGTTCATCTCCATTTCAAAGCCGAAGAGCCAGCAGTTAGTGATTGCCATTTTATAATGGTTCCTCATGTATGTTTGGTATGTTTGCCTGCCCTGCAAGCAGAAAGCAAAGTTTATTAGTATTTAGACTAGATTACACCCTGTCTTTTTTTGGTGACAATCCACAAGGAGTTCTTTGGATATTCCATTTGCACCATAAAAACAGTGAAGTCTGTATTTACTCAGGAGTTCTACAATTTATTTCTCCTGGACATACACCCAAGTCATTGCAATTATTTGCAGGGAGAGTCACAGGTTTAAAGAAGTGTATGGCCCAGTCCTAAATTCAGCGAAGCCAAGTTTACTTCAAAGGCCTTGTCCAAGCAGATGGAAATGCACTGCTGAGATTCATTCAGTTCCAATGCATGAAGATTGCTGCTACCACAGAGGGGACACTAATCCCACACAGGCCACCAGAAATATATGCAGCCAAAAAGCCACCTTGTGCAAAGAGGCCTCTGTCTGCCTTACCTGACTTTTGTGGTCACTTTCTGCAATGCTTTGCCACAACAGCTGTTCTGGAGAGCCAAATGCAACATGGTGAGGACTCGACTGCCAGCAGCTGGCTTTGTGACAAAGATGGGGGCAGCCAGGAGGAAGATTACAAGGGCCAGGGCCAGGCAGACAGCAGGAATGGCATAGCCAATCAGGAAGTCCACATTCTGTTGGATGAAGGCAATCACCAGCAGCGAAAGCACAGCCCCAATGTTAATGCTCCAGTAGAACCAGTTGAAGAAACGTCGGGTAGCTTCCTGGCCACAGTCTGTCACCTGCAATGAAAAAAAAAAACCAAAACAACAGAGAGAGAGAGAGAGAGAGAGAGAGAGAGAGAGAGAGAGAGAGAGAGGCTTGATTCTCTTGAATTAGTCCTTAATATGCTAAGTCCAGCAAGAATTGTCTAGTTAGTTATTTTTCTCTTTATCTCTCCTCTCCTCTCCCCTCCCTTTCCTTCTTGCATCCAGATATAAAGCATGTCCAGATTAGTAAACATTTATATAATTTAGCAATGTTTGTCAAATTATTGGTATGTACAGAATGGCTATAGAGAACGCCATTGCTAAAAAAAGAAAATGAGAATATGAGTGAATCTCTCTCATGTTTTATCCTCTGGGAAAAGAAATGAGTCTGTATTGCACTGTACAAAAAGCAGCAGTTCTTTGCATATGGGAAAGTATGGAAGCCCACATTTGATAAAGAAAAGGATAATTGTTGGCTGGTGGGCAAGAGAAGGAATGGTGGATGGGTATTAAAACCTTCCTTTTCCAAGTGGCACTGTTCTTCCAGCTGTGGAGGTAATAAGTGGCACTGAAAACAGGTCCTTGGCCTTGCTTGTACTTTACACAACAGAGTCATATGTTTGTTTGCATGATATTGCCTTCATATTGTCTACAGGTTGTGTATGAAACAACTTTAAACCTTTATTAGATATACTGGTCTTAAAGCAGTATTCCCCCCGCCCCTTCCAACATTATCCCAAGGGGTGTAAAATCTCTCATGCCTTGCCACACACTAGCAATAGTCAGCTATTGTGAATCTTATCAGAGGCATGCTGGGAAGTAGAGGCACACCCTCTGGGCATCTTCCTCATCCAGAGTTAGTCTTCTCCATTAACACTTTGTTTCCTGAGTTCCTTTTAGAGCAGTCATCTCCCCATCTTCCATTATGATTTGACACCAGCTTCTCCCCCAGCTTCCAACAAGACAGATGACAAAAGAACAGACCACCAACATTTTATTTAGAATAAAGGAAGTGTATTCTTCCTTTAGGCACCCCAGGTCTCCCCTGTTCCTGCTGCTGTGCTCTGATCAGTGGATATTTTTCCCACTGATGATCTGAAAGGAACAGGAACAAAGCACGACTGTCAGCAGTGATCGACCCCACAGGCATCTATAGAAACGGCAAGGGGGACAAGTAACAAAATGTGGGTCCTCCCGACATAAATCGCATGACCTATATACTTCCATCAGACCTCAGAAGGCAACCATGGAGATCATTTCATGATGTCATTATACACGTATTGTCATTTTGCTGTAATATTGGTTTGTGTCAATTGGGAAATACACCATTTGGATGTGACTCAGAGGCGGGATAGAGATTGACGCAAGGGACAGCAAATTGCCTGATAACATAAGGCCACTGTTTTAATTAAATAGTGGGGAACGACCCTTGTGAATTGAAAAAGAGAAATAAATGAATAACTTCAGGATTTCCGGAAACAATGAAAAATTAGCATTTCAGAAGTGCTACAGGACTTCTGATTTTCAAAGGAAAAAACCCCTATCATTCTGCTTAACGGTTGTCCCTGTTTCCACACAGCAGGTTAACCACTGATTATGTTCATTGTTTCCCCATTGTTTTACGGGAAGTTTACTGGGTGCTCTTCTTTCCCCCACTCTAAAGATTTTTGTCTTGGTCATATGATTCCCAGGATTCCTCCAAGGCTGTTAATCTCTCTCACTTCTGCATTAAGGGTGTTGCTACTTTAACTACCTGGCCTAGAGATCATTTTGATGGGGAGGAGAGAATCATGACATTATGATTGCTAACATTCTTGAGTTCTAAAACTCTTTTGTCCCTCAGAGCTTTGCCAGCCACCAAGGCTTGCCTTTTCAATCCCGGGTACAATTCCTTTAATTTTTCAGCTGTCTTTTCTATCTTTGGCTAATTAAACCAAAATAGTACTGTGTCTTTCTTTAGTCTTACTGCTTTGAACTTTATTTAGATGGCAATAATTAGAAAAAGGATTTGAAAAAATATGGCACAACTATCTGAAATCAGTAAACGCGAAACAATAAAAGACGTTACATTACATCAAAACACATTTTTAAGGTAAAACCCTGAGGCTTATTGGGACAGAATCATCCCAACAACCCAATGAAAAATTTAGTAATAATTCCAAATTGCTTGCCTTGAAATAAAGAAAGGATAAATCCGAGAGATTATCTCTTACCTGATTGGCACCAAATGAAATGAGATTGGCTTTGACGGAGCTGATGCCAAGAGCCAGGATCAGCAGACCAGTGTACAGGAGAGGGGCACAATATGGACTTGGCAGCTCTTGTTTACACTCTGACATGTCACCTTGGCATGAAGGCTGTATTGGGTATGATGGCATCTCTCCACACAACCAGAGGCGCCCCTCCTGTGAGGCCACCGTGGGCAACAGGCATGCTGAGACAAGGTACAGCAGGAAGCTGAAGACAATAGTCCAGTAGTAGCCTAGGCAAGCATCGGCCAGCCAGCCCCCGATAGGCGAGAGCAGATAGGAGGCACCTATGAAGATCAAAACTGCCTGAGAAGCCTGGGAACCACCCCAGTTAAAGGTGCTGCTGTTGAGGTACAAGACAAGGTTGGAGACGATACCAAAGAAAGCTGCCCGCTCCAGGATCTCCACCAGCAACACAGCCAGACAGGCAGCCTTTCTGCCCTCAAAGAGAGATGGGGCTGGCCCATTGAGCTGGGATCCTTTCTGCTCTAACAGGGGATTGCACTCCTCTTCAGTTCGCCGAGAAGCCATGGTGGAGGCCCGATCTCAGAATCCTTGTTTTTGCTTCTCTATGGATCTTATTTCTTTGCCATTTCTCTCTGGACCTTTCTATGCTGGCTTTTATTTCCTGGTCTCTTCTCTTCTACAAAGCCTTTGAGTGCTGCATTCACTTCCCCATTTCTCCTCTCCAACACAAGCATCACATGAGCGCTCATTTCCCTGAAAGGAAACATTCATGTTATTCTGACCAAGATGGTTTCCTTTTCAGGGGGGCCTTTTTCATGCTCCTGCCCCTTTTGCAGCGCCACCCCTTTTGCATCTGTGGCACACACACACGCACACGCACACACACACACACACACACACACACACACACACACAGGACCAAACTACCATTTTCCTGTATGTCTATCAAGGCAGAACCACATGACCACATAGTTTTAGGTAGGACCAGCCAGCCCCAAGTGAATTGTCCCTAATGCGATCAGTCAAAAACCCTATACAGTTATTCCACAACTTCTGCAAAGATTTTTGCAAATATGGACAAAAAGAATCAAGACAGAAAAAGATTCTCACAACATTTGTACTTTTATAAAACCCCATAAATGAATCAGGATGATAATGCAATAATTACTTAGGTACAGTGGTGGGATTCAAATTTGTTTACTACTGGTTCTGTGGGCGTGGCTTGGTGGGCATGGCATGGCTTGGTGGGCGTGGCTTGGTGGGCGTGGCAGGGGAAGGATACTGTAAAATCTCCATTCCCACCACACTCCAGGGGAAGGATACTGTAAAATCTCCATTCCGTCCCCAAACCAGGGGAAGGATACTGCAAAATCCCCATTTCCTCCTGATCAGCTGGGACTCAGGAGGCAGAGAATAGATGGGGGCGGGGCCAGTCAGAGGGTGGTATTTACCGGTTCTCCGAACTACTCAAAATTTCTGCTACTGGTTCTCCAGAACTCGTAAGAACCTGCTGAATACCACCTCTGCTTAGGTACTGCCCTATTCATTTCCTTTCTTATAAGAGATCAAAACTTTGATATCCATGCTAATTTATCTCACTTTTGAAGATTAAAAGCTTTAAATGCTATTTTTGAGAAGAATTTTTGAAAGCATACCTTGCTTTACTCCTCCACCCGACCCCACCAAAGTCCCCTGTGCATCATGAATGGGGAAGGAATGTTCCTGGGAAGGATGAGCAAAGAATATCTGGAGTGAACACCAAGAGTAAATATTCCCAGCAGGGTCACCCAAAATCATCCCAGCAGCTCAGCTGAAGCAAGCAGGCATTGACATAGAACAACAAATGATGTAGGAAGAAGCCAGAAGTAGTTGATCACCTTAGTGACAATGGTAAAGGCATCAATTCATATTGCATGGGACCATATATGTGAAAAAAAAGAAGAAAAAAATTAGAAGACAAAACTTCCCCTTCCTCTCTAGTAAGTATAGTCAACATTAACATTGCTGCCTTTTAAAATAGAACTAAATACTGCTACACTTTCCATGCCTCATCCTGTTTTCTATAAAGTCATCTCTAAATCTTCAATTCTCCTTATTAATGAGCTAAAGCCAATAAGGGTTAACAGAAATAACAACCAAAATATTTATATCTCCATTTCCATTTAAGCAAATTGCCCCAATCTTTTTCGTCAAATAATAAAATCCTATCCCAATCAACAATTAAACATTATGAAAAATAATCTTACAAATTAATCCACTATACCTAATTAAACATTATCAAAAATAACCGTCATCATCCAATCCCATTTTTTTTAAAAACAAACATTTGAAGTAGTCCTCAACTTACAACCACAGTCAGAATCAGAATTTCGATTGCGAGTTGAGATAACCAAGTAACCGAATGTGATTCCTTTTACCATTTTTACAGAGTTCATTAAGCAAATCAGATGGTTGTTAAGCAAATCCATTCTTCATTAGGAAAATCACACAGTCATTAGGCCAATCTATTATCCTGAATGGGCATTTTTTGCCAGAAATATGGCAAATCATGGTCACATGACCACAGTGTGCTGCAACTATTCATAAATGTAAGTTGGTTGCTGAAATGGAATCATGTGACTGCAAGGAGAGGGTCAGAATGACATTTTATGATGGATGAAAGTGCTTTATGGGCCGTAAAGCATCCCTTCTGAGGCCATTGTAACTTTGATTGTAAATCAAGGACTATCTGTAATAGCAAACCATTATTTCAACCATAATCAAATAAACCAATTATGTATTTTTCTTCTTTTTGCCAGTAATCTTTAATTCCTACAAATAAAGTTCTAACATCTGCTTTCTCATAGTCTTGTTGTTTTTTCTCTCTCGAAATTCTTGTCATCTTTATCAAAGTCCTTTGTAGCTCCAGTGAAGTAGCTTCAGTAAATTCCTTATTGTCCAAAATCTGTCTGTCTGTCTGTCTGTCTGTCTGTCTATCTATCTATCTATCTATCTATCTATCTATCTATCTATCTATCCAGCCAGCCAACTATCATCCCATCCATCCGTCCGTCCGTCCATCCATCCATCCATCCATCCATCCATCCATCCATCCATCCATCCCATCCATCATCTATCTATCTATCTATCTATCTATCTATCTATCTATCTATCTATCTATCTCTATCAACTATCTATCTATTAAATCCATATTATTCTTTTGGTTTATTATTTGTATATCTTTATTATTATTATTTTGCATTTCCCTCTTTCTTGTTTTTCCCCTCTCCATTTGTATTTCCCTCTTTCTTGTAAATTCTAAGTTTTAAATCCACTGTAAAGTCCATTTTGACTTTATTGAATAGGGTTTATTCCTCTTCAATAAAAGCTTATGATTCCATTATAAACAGTTTGAGAACCTCTTGTACCCAAGCATCAAAATGTTTCCTTTACAATAGACATCTGATACCCACTAATGTCCAAACTTCAAAGTCCTATTTTCAGTTTGTAATGCAAGCAAAGAAATTTTTCCCATGAGGAAAGATCCTTTTAATTAATTTCAAAGTATTTCTTTAATTCAAATTAATCTTAGCCCTTAATCTATTTAAAAAAAAACTTTCTAAAATCTACACTATATCATCCCTTTGCTCTATATTGCAAAAATAAACCTCTTAAAACTGTATGTACTGCATATTTTGTGTGTGTGTGTGTGAATGGATTGAAAAGAAACTTGTCCAGCAAATGCCAAATTTGTAGTTCTGAAGGTTTTGCAATGTTTTACAAACAATAAAAAAAAAGGCAAATTCCAAAGTGATTAAATGGATAAGGTTCGTTGAATGGCTCATAGCATGATGGAATCCTGTTACTCATATCTGATTTCAAGCAACCACAAAAATGTCAATTTCTGCTGTCTGCTCACCAAAAACAGCTGTCCAGAGTACATATGGGTGACCTCAAGATCTCTCCTTCATCTGAAGTGAAGCCAGAAGACTGTGAGTTCTACTCCCACCTTAGGCATGAAAACTGGTTGGGTGACTTTGGGCCGGTTACTCTCTCTTAGTCCAACTCAACTCACAGACTTGTTGTGGGGAAAATAGTAGGAGGAAGATATATTGTGGAGTTTTATTGCCTTTAGTTATTTATAAAAATAATAAATGTGGGACATAAATATAAATAAATAAATAACCGAGCTGCCTTTCAGTCATAATGTCTCCTATGATTCACAGGAGGTTTACCTCTCAATTCACAATTCCACTCAGAAGTGACTTCAAGAAAGCAAGTGAGTTTCCACAATATGATCTTAAACATATACTCCCCATTTTCAAGAAGAACATCAACTTAAATGATAGAGAACCAGAGGAATCATGGAATGAACTTAAAGTTGTTAAGGATGAATGTGAAAAAAACCTGCCAAAATTGAAAAAAGAGAATAATGATGCCGGAATAAATTGTGGAAGCCAAAAAAGACATAAATGTCAGAAAGGAATTTAATAAATAGGTTCAGTGTTCTATTAGAAGAGACAAGGAACAGTACTGCAACATCTAGAAAGATAACGAAGATAGAAACAAACTTGGAAAAACAAGGGAAGTCTTTGAAAAGAACTCTGTACTCAGAAGAAGGTTTCAACCTCAAATTGGAATACTAAAGGACAATACAATAGTAACCAATTCAAAGGAGATCAAAGGAAAATGGAAAGCATATACTGAAATACTGTATAGTAGAGATGTCAATATCCAAGATACCTTACCACAACAGTTTCCAACCTTTCCAGCTTTGTGGACTGGGGGGAGGAGAGAGGATGGTTCTGCATAAGAGGTGGGCAAGCAAAAATGGAGCTGCGTTCACAGGCTCACTTGCCCGCTGTGCGCACAAATGGAGCTGCTCACGCATGCTCGTCTGCTGCTTCTGCAGCCTGATTCTGAACAGGCCGTGGTCCAGTAGTAAGCTGTGGCCCAGGGGTGGGGACACCTGCCTTAGAAGATATTCCTTATCTAAAAGCATCTCTAGTATTAGAAGATGAAATTATATCAGCACTTCAGTTATTACCAAGTAAAAAAACTAAACCAATTATGGAGAATGACACAGTGGCCAGCCAATTGGAAGAGGTCAAACTACATTCCAGTGTCAAAAAAAGGAGTTCTAAAGAGTATGCAAACTATTGTGCTAGAGGATGGCATAATATCTTTCTGTCTTCAAGAAATGTTAATTGTGCTGAGGCCACCTAGTCATGTCGGAATGGGACAACTCACTGCAGCCAACTCGCCATGGCCAACTTGCCATGAAACCACTTGCCATGGCCAACTTGCCACAGGACAATTTAACAATTCAATTTAATTATTTAAAATAAATAAAAAATATTTTAATTTTTGTCATTCACATTTCATTCTATCCCTCCTTTTACATCCTTTCTTTAATAATTCTATTCTACCATTTCTTTGATATTAGTGCATCTCTTTGTCCCGCAGGGAGTTGGCTGTGCCGAATTGTCATAGACCCTAGTCATGTAGTACAGCTTCCCACTCTTTTCTGAGTTCTTCTATCATTCCTTTCCTGTCCTTTTTAGTGTTTGAAGAAAATATTCTTAGTAGAAATTTTTAATAGGATTGATAATCCTCACAAGTCTGTTTTAGCTAACCATTGTTCAGTTCCAGCTTGCTGCTTGAAAACGTATTACCTTTTGCTGTTGCGGTTATTTTTGTTTTATTTAGGCTTATTGTTCCCCTATAGAATGTAGGACAT